AATGGTTGCCAAGCAACTAAATATCGAACCCAATCAAGTAAATTTCCATAGAGTACATGAGGTTTCTAAACATTCAAAAACAATTATGAATATTAATTTTTTTTTCTTTTTCTTAAACATACCTCCCATGGATTAGGAAATAATCTTTTTAAATCTACTTTTTCTTTACAATATGGACATGTTTCTTTTTTTCCAACAATACACCAACCACGTATACAAAATTCATGAAAACTAATCAAATTAAATTAGAAAAAATATTTTCAATAAAAAGAATTCAACAAAATATGATAATAGTTACGTATGACCACATTGTAATTTATATGTTCGTTCAATTAATGCTTCTTCATTATTTTGTACTAATATTTGATTAGCACAAACGGCACATGTATTAGATTCTAATGCTCGTTTAGGTAAACCTGTTTCAGAATAATACTAAATAAAATAAAAAAAACATTAGAATTTCATTAGTTCTTTTTTTTTTGTTTATAAAAATCTCATACTCCAATTTTTGATGCCATTCGATCAGTACATGATTCAGCCATATCTCTTCCAAGTACACCATAATATATTCCATAAAACATAATTAATATTCCAAAATCAAGTGCAGTCTACAATTGATAATTAATTTTAAAATTAATCATATATTTCAAAAATATTTACTTGTGGAGATATTAATAAAAGAGTATTAATACCAAAAAAAGTCATCATTACAAGAAAATAACCACTAATAGCAAGTCCATATGAAATTTTATAAATAAGAAGAAACCATTTATAAACTAATCTATTTAAACAAAAACATTATTTAATTATTTTTAAAAAACTAAATATTCGTTTTCTTTTTCTGTTTTTTATTTTTACCTTGGTGTATTTGGTTCAATAGGTTGTCGTGTTGCGCGACGTGTAACATAAACTGTTATAATTGTAAAAAAACACCAAATTATAATAAAACGAATATAAAAAAAACGAATTGATAAACCAAGTGGAATTAACCACATTCCAATAAGAGTAAAAAACTGAACAAAAAAAATAATAACAATTCATTTATCAAAAAGAAAACAAAATATCTGTGAACTAGTACTTGATAGGATCGAAGATGATACTTTCTCCAAAATAATAATAAAAATTGACAAACAACAAGTGAAGTAAGTAGAACAAGTACCATTTCCATATGCATAGCATCATGTCCTTTATGTTTTTCATGCATAGCTTCATGTTGAACTCGAAAACGTTCTTCCGGACTAAGTTTATCAAGTTCATATGTCTATAAAAATATATCAAATTATATTTCAATTGAAATATGCATATATATTAACTGTACTTTATTGCCTAATATTATAGTTTTTCCTACAAATTCATTGTCTAAATCCATAGTTATTTTACTAGTAAGCAAGTAAAAACGTGGTTATTGACTAGGTGGTCTTCGATTGGTCGAGTAGAATCTCCAATGAAACTAAGATATAAGTCGCTGGATGTATAATATTTCATTGGAATTTATTTTATGCATCACATAATTAATTGAAATGTTCAAATTTATTATTTTTATCATTTCTATTTTACAATTAAAACTTATATCGGTAAATTAAATTAATTTAATTTTGTTGAAAAAAATTTATTAATATTTACTTTACAGACATTTGATGATACAACAGATGATATTGTATCTCTTAATATCGAAGATAATGTAATAGATGGAAAATTTGTATCATTTGCTAAAATCAATATTCGTCTTTCAAGACAATCAAATATTGAATTATTACCTTCACGTACTATATCATCTTTACACTACGAACGATTAATTGAAGTTATTTAATTCATAAAACTAAAATCAAATTATAAATAAATATCTGTCTGTTTTTTTTTAAAGGAATCTCAATTAAATATACATTCATATTATACATTAAAAGTTCATTTTAAACGTCGTTCATTACAAGATTATGTTATGACATCAATACCAATGGTATAGAATTTTTTTTTTGTGTTTTTAGTTTTTATCTTGTTTTCTTTTCTAATTTCAAATTATTTATTATTCTAGTGTCTTATTTTACAAGCACAATTTCAATATACTATGAATTTATTTATTAATGAAAATGGTTATATTGTTAGTGTAAATATTATAACAAATAATTCAACATGTAGTATTTCGAATACACCTATATTAGAAAAACAAACTGATTGGATATATAAAGTTCCTTTACATTTACATTTTAATGATCTTGGACCACAGTAAGAATAGAATTTATCTTTTTGTTTTTTTTTTAATTTTTTTGTTGTATTAATAATAGACCTGAAATACAACATTTTCTTGAAAAACTTAGACGTGAAAGAGAAGCAAAAAACACACAAGAAAATGATAATCGACCATTTATACTTAAATATGTGAGTAATAAAAGAATATTTATACAACAAAAAAAAAAAAAAACTACTTTTGCTTTTTTTTATTTTAGTGGAAATATATATTACCAGTAGTAGTCATTTTTCTTCTTCAAGGTGCTTTTGCAGATCCTGGAGCTGCTGGTGGTGGCGGCGGTAGTGGACGATAGTTCTCTTTTTATTTTTATTATAAATTTTAATATTTATTTATGTTTTACTTTATATTTGTCGCATTATGTGGAAAAGTTGTTCTGTATTACATAAGGAAAAAAAATACAAGTACAGATTTTCTCATTAATCACAAAAAAAAAAGAATGTATATATCGTAGTTTTTCTTAATTAATACTCATCTACTCTTAATATTGAATTGATTGATACATATACATGTATTTGTAGTTATTTTTTACTCATGTGTATGATAAGACATTCAAATGTAGTAAATAATATAAGGTCGATGATGAAATAACTTATTCATTTAGTTTCTTTCTTTTTTTTTTTTTTTATTGCAGCTGGTTGTTGTTCAAGGACATATGATGTCTATATCATTAGTATGCTGTTTGTTCGTTTTTAAATATTGATTTAACATATCATTGATTAGATATTTAATTTAAATGGTTATAGTTGCTATTTTATATACATATATAGAAAAAAAAAAAAAAAAAAAAAAAAAATATCTCACCCTATGAATAAAGTATTAAATTAACAAATTGTCGGACAGACATAACATGTAGCAGTGACTTTTTTTTATTATAGACGATGATGATATATATGTGTAACTTTCGAATTTTTTTTCTTTTCATTAGAATGCGAATCTTTAGAACAAATATTGGTTATACCTAGATCAATTTTCAACAATGAATATTAATCTATACATAATATTGCTAATACAATATTTTTTTTTTACTTCTTTTTCTTTTTTCTCAGTCACTTACTCAGTGTGAAATCATTACATATTAATATGCTTGATATTATCGTTGATACAACTATTCTTACTTAACTTATCTTGAATAGTCAATATATATACAATGTATAAAAAGAAATACGATTCCGCTTTGACATTTCGTATGAAAATAAAGAATTAAGTCTTTTTCTTTTTTTTTCCAAATTAGTATTGAATCTTTGCATTGTATTTTTCAATATGGTATGTATTCTTTCACTTTCTTAAGTATTATACATCAAGTTGGACATCTACATGAGCATGTCTAATGTATATTCGAAATTGTTCGACCATGATAAGATATGCAGAGTATATTGAACAACAAAAAGTTGATATTTTCTTTGGATATTGTACATCATATTAATGAATGAACCAATATTTAAGTTTTCTTATCATATAAATAGAAAAGAAAAGAATCGGATAAGCTTTTTTTTTAATTTTTTAACGACCTTGAACAATCGATTATCGAATAAATATTCATAAATGTGCTTTGTATGGATTAAAAGTGATTATTTTTCTCACTTTTCTTCTGCAATAAATGTGGCATAGGGGAAAAAAATCTACCACAAAATAAAGAACAATTGATATCGTCCAACCACAAATGAATCAATACGGTTACAACCTATACAATACATGTGTATATTTTGAAGTGGTTTTTTTTTCCTGTGACGTTTATCAACAAGTACAGAGGCTGTTTTTGAATGATTAAACTATTCGACACGAATGGACACTTTACGATTCTCAAAATTTATATTCCTAGATGCCATATGTGTACATATATATTATCAAACATCAACCAACATGGATTTGATGACAACAAAGAAGCAGCAGCAACAGCAGTAAGAGAGAAAGAATATTTGGTTTTTTCTTCTTTTCTTTTTTTTTTGGTAAGGTAGGTAGAAGAGAAAATATGCGTACGACGAAAAATGAAATTAAAGATAAAGAGAAGAGAAAAAAGCGGACATTACTCACCTGATGA